GTTAACATGATAAAATCACAGCTCACATGATTGCAATTTTATTRAACCTTCTTTCCCATTCTTAAAATAGTTGATCAGATAATGACACACTGGCTGTCAGAGATGATGTTAAAGTTAAGGATCAAATTTGTGAAAGCTAAAGAATACATAGAGCAAAGTAATTTATTTATAAATTACGTAACTGTCAATACAGAAAAGCTAAACACAGAAAAATGATGGCTTTTTTATACAGAATAATTTTAATACAATATACTGTGTAATCCGAAACTTTCTATCTTCAGGGAAGAACACCTTCTATTTTAGAGGTTGTGGTTGGACCAAGAAATCTGTAAAATGGGACAACAATGATTATAAATGGATTACCGCCATTGCAAAACTGTTTGAAAATCTTTATGGAGGAGATTATCTGCAATATGTTTATGAAAAAGAGAGAGGCTCCAGAGTTCATGAAAGCAGCACCCCTATATATAGGTACAACCATAATGTCTGGTAAGAAAATTATACTAAAGCAATTGAAGGAGTCTCTTCCACAAAAAAGCCTGCATCTAAAAAATGACAGCTCTATCAGGAAGAGTGTGAAGCCAGTTCTACAGTTGATGATGATCATTCAGGCTGTATTTCATTGCCTTCTACACCTGATAAGTCTTCAAGCATGGCTCCAACTTTTGTCCCTTCTCAAGCTGTAACCCAATATGCCATCCCAACTTCCACCATGTCGACACATAAGCCTGCATCTAAAAAATGCCAGCTCTATCAAGAATAGTATGAAGCCAGTTCTATAGTTGATGATGGTCATTCAGGCTGTATTTCATTGCCTTCAACACCTGAGAAGCCTTCAAACATGGCTCCAACTTTAGTCCCTTCTCAAGTTGTAAACCAATATGCTATCCCAACGTCCGCCATGTCGACACGTAAGGAGTTTGCAATGACGCAAATCACTTACTTATCAAATACTCCGCGTTGCCAGAAAARWTATTTTTGGTATATCAATGTCTTTCACTTTATGTTGGCAAAACTGATGACACCTTTAGATAAAACTTACCTGGGACGAGAGGATTATGTGCATAATTTATTGACTCAGTTAACTCGCGAATCCACGTGAGATATTTGCGCTTCAGTGTTTTAGCAATTTTCTTTTGATTTTGGATATGATACGTCTTTGCCATTCCATTTGAATTTGATATTGTCTGCCGTAGTACAGCCTGGATGCTTCAAATCGACGTTTTCGCAAAGCATTCCTCGTTTTAAATTCTTTTTCGCAGCAAACACAGCTAGTTACACAACTGTTGGTCATGTTTCGGCATTAACCGCATTTTAGTGATAACTTCGGTTTTAAATTTACAACAAACTACCATAGATACGCGAGGGCCAAGGTAAATCTACCAATCAAATTCATTACTTTTCGTTAATCCAGGAAKTGATACCATGTGATACTTTGGGATGCTATTACTCAGCACAGAAATATACAAACCCAAAAATCATATCACAGGTTTATTTCTAGAATTCAAAATAGTCATTACTCTAATGCAAATATTTCATGGAACCAAACTTTTAAGTTTAAAAAATCGTTTTCTAGATCATTTCGACTATATTAGGTTATTTGCTTTATTTATTGACATTACCACAAAAAAGGACCGACGTGACGTATTTCCTGGACAATGATATGTCATATGTCATGGGGAGTTACCATATTAAATTCACAGTATTACTATATACATGTAATATAAGAATCTATTTTTATAGTTATATCTCTTTCACAGATATATATATATAAAGTGGAATTTCAAATCTAATTAAATAAAATTCTAGAACGTAATATTTGGTCACACAAGTGTTCTTATAACTAAACGAATTCATGTTACTGTTGTGAGGTGTGGCCACATATTTCACACTTTCATTGCTTAACAGAGAGAGCTTCCCTGCTGATGTTCCGTGGTTTCAAAACCAATTCATAACAAGCCTCGAGTCTTTCAGCAAAGAAAACCCACAACAAAAACCTGCTTTTCTTTCTGTAGTTAGTTCAACTAAAAAGATCAACACTTTTGCACTGTCTGGCTCCACATCAACATCAAACAAGACGAGAACAGAGGCATCTACTTCATCTACCCAAWGGGATTCAACAGCTATTCCACACGTTCAAAGCCTAGTTGACAAAAGAAATGACCTATATGAAAACACCAAGGATCAAAGTGATAACGAATTATGGTACCGAGAAAGAACACCTAGAAATACGGCTTCAATGTGTGGTAGAATGATCAACCGCATAAAAGACATACAAGTATTTTATTGATATGTTTTTAATTTCTATATAATAGCTAGACCTACACCTAACCAAAACAATTCTGCAACTTTCAATATATATGTCTATTGTTTCCCTATTGTTTAATCTCTCAAGAACAAAAGACATATATACATATATTAAAAGTTGCAGATCTTTTTTGGTTAGGTGTATATATATTTTTTACATATTGTATAAATATAGTGTATTTTATAAATTAAGTAGTTATTTATTATTATTCTTTATCTTATTGTTCTCTTCAGAAGGCCCAGTGTAAGATTAGTTTTAACTAGATTAGTTTTAACTAAACTGGTGTAATTTTTGATTACTTTCTAAACCTTCTTTAGGAAGGAAGTTGACACACTCATAAATTATTACTCCAAACGCGCGTTCAAATCCCTGCTCTTTGCCCCGCTTCGAAAACAATTSATCAMAATCCCGACCCCGGGGCAATTTTGCTTTTTAAAGCACGTTAAAAACGCGTCACGTCCCCGTTAAGTGCCTCGCAAGCCCCGAGGGTCGGGGTCGGGGGGTTCAAGTGAATAGTGCATAAGAAACACTCGTCATAGACGAGACACATTCCTTTTCAT